TGCCTGTAGCTCTGGCTACTTGGAAGGCTGAGGTGGAAGGATCGCCGGAGCCCAGCAGGTGGAGGTTGCAGTGGCTGGGAGTGTGCCACTGCACTCCAGCCTGGGTGGTAGAGTGAAACTCTGACTCACCCCCCACCCAAAAAAAAGAAAGAAATCTCCTCCAGTGAGCAGATCAAGTTGTCTGCCATTTTGTGGCTCCAAGTCTGAAAACAAAAACGAGCTAACAAAATAAATACTTTTTTGTAGGACCTTTTTGGTATGCCTGTGTAGTTCTTACCTGTTAGACTGTAACCAATATGTATCTTAATACATGTAGATGTGATTATAAGATATTAGCTTGGTGCAAAAGTAATTGTGGCTTTAGACTGTGAGTTTTAAATAATTATAGCTAGGCTCAAACACATCTTTATTAAGAAAAATAGGAACCATTATAATCAACACATTTTTGCCAACGAGAAATAAGTTTATTTATTCCTGTAGCATAAAAATCCGTGCTTCGGGATTCAGCAAACTCTTGGGAAGTATTTTCTTCACCCTGCTGGTTGTGGAAGCATTGTTCCTGCAAAGGTTGTTGAGATGCTTGAAGAAATGGTAGTCGGTGGGCAAGAGGTCAGGTGTATATGGTGGATGCGGCAAAACTTTGCAGCCTGATCCGTTCAACCTCTGAAGCGTTGGTTGTGTGATGTGCAGTTGTGCATTGTCATGGCGAAGAATTGGGCTCTTTCTGTTGACCAAAGCCAGATGCAGGTGTTGCAGTTTTCAGTTCGGCTCATCGATTTGCTGAGCATGCTTCTCAGATGTAACGGTTTTGTTGGGAATTCAGAAAGCTGCAGGGGATCAGACCAGCCGCAGACCACCAAACAGGAACCATGCCCCTTTTTTAGTGCAAGTTTGACTTTGGGACGTGCTTTGGGGCTTCTTCTGGTTTCAACCACTGACCTGGTCATCACTGGTTGTCGTATACAATCCACTTTTCGTCGCACGTCCCAATCCAATTGAAATGTGATTCATTGTTATTGCCCAGAATAAGAGAATGCAACACTTCGGAACGATGATTTTTTTGCTTTTCGGTCAGCTCACAAAGCACTCACTCCTCATCGAGTTTTTTCACCTCTCCAATTTGCTTCTGAATGACTGTAGCATGGTCAACGTTGCAGCAACTTCTCCTGTAGTTGTAAGAGGATCAGCTTCGATGATTGCTCTCAAATGCTCATCTTAAAGGCTCTGGTTTCCTTTGCAAAAGGAGACACCACCGCTGCACTGTATGTTCATTACCAGTTCCTGGGCCAAATGCATTGTTGACGCTGCGAGTTGTCTTCACATCCTATTTTGAACTCGAATAAGAAAATCGCTCAAATTTGCTTTTTGTCTAACATAATTTCCATAGTATAAAATAAACAGCAAGTAATAAGTCATTCGCAAAAAATAAATAAATAAAGCAAGAAAGGTACATTAAAAGGGTGTATAACATGACCACATTTATTTCAGAATGTTTTCCAATATCAAATGGCAAATGTGAACCATGCAAAAACCAAAATAACTTTTGCACGAACCTAATAGCTTTTCCCACCCTTCTTGTAAACTGCAGAAATGTTTAAACATACACGAAAGTTGAGATTGTAGAGTTATGACCTCCTGTCTCAGTCTAGGTTCCAACAAAAACAGTTGTGCTCAAATGGGGATAATTGGAGGGAGGCTTAGTTATGGCTGAGGATTGGGTGTGGGGAACTTGAAAGTCCTAGAGGACAGTAGTAGGGACCTGTCACCTCTCTCAGGCCCAGAGATACTAGGGGAGGGAGTGACTCCTGGGACCTGGTAGAGGGTGTACTGGGAAGGACATCCAAGAGGGGCTGTTACCTCAATGTGGGCTGGCCAAGGGACACCAGGTCTCACTCTTTTCCTGTTAGGAAGCCAGGGGCAAGGGAGCCACAGATGTCATCCATATGCATCAGCCTCTTGGGGCCCAGGCTAGGGTCGGGGCAGAGTTAACAGACACCGGGATGCTATCCAGCGTAATCCCACATACCATCCCCAGCTGCAACAAGGGCATCCATTCTCTATTGCTGAGGAACAAAGACCACCAATGTCATGACTTAAAACAACACCCAAGTATAATTTCACAGTTCTGCAGGTCAGAAGTCCAGCACACCATGGCTCGGCTGGGGCCTCTGCTTAGGGTCGAAATGCAGGTGTTGGGCCGGTCTGTGCACCTTTCTGGAGGCTGGTGAATTCTCTTGCAGGCCCACTTGGGTTGTGGCAGAACCCAGCTTATTGCAGTTGTAGCACCGAGGCCCCCATTTGTTGGTTGTCAGACAGGTGTTCTCAACTTCTAGAGGTTCCCTTTTTCCGAGTCTCACGACTCCCTTCCTCCATCTTGGAAGCCAGTCATGGTGGGTGGAATCCTTCCTTACGCTTCATTCTCATCTCTCCTGCCGTATCTCTGACTCGTCTGCCTTTCCTTGTGTGTTTTTAAGGGTCCACCTGGATACTGCAGGAGAATTGACCTGTTGTAAGGTCAGCTCATAATTCCATCTGCAAAGGCCCTTCCCAGCAGTGCTTAAATCGGAACCTTGAAATCTTTAGAATTCAGCCAGCCATGACAACGATCGACATTTTGCCAATCTTAGATAACTAGGAGTGTTTGTTTTCAATTGCACTCATTAAAAAAAAAAAAAAAAACTTTATCGAGAAAGAATTCATATGCCATGCAATACACCCAACATGTTCATAGTGTTTACTGGTGTATGACATTATCAACTTTTAAAAATGTGGTAGGATTATTTAAAACATTAAATTTGCCATATTAGCCGTTCTTAAGTGTACGGTTCAGTGGCATTAATTGCATTTAAAATACTGCGCAACCGTCACCACTACTTGTTTCTGTTTCATTACCTCGAACGAAAACTCTGTAACCCTTGAGCGATAGTGCTCTGTTTCCCTCCCCACAACCTGGGTGACCGCCAATTAACTTTCAGTTTCTAAGAATTGGTCTATTCCGGATATGAATGAGGTCACATAACATTTGTCCCTTTGTGTCTGGCTTATTTCACGTCGCAGAGTGTCCTCAAGGACCACCTATGTTGTGGCAAGTGTCAGAACATCATCCCTTTTTAGGCAAAATAATGTTCCATTGTACGTACGCATCATGTTTTGTTCATCCATTCATCTCCTGATGGGCACTTGGATTGTTTCCACCTTTTAGGTGCAGTGAATAATACAGCAATGAACATTAGCAAACAAGTATCTGTTCCAGCCCCTGCTTTCAGTTCTCTTGGGTATCTTGCTAGGGGTAAGAAATGTCGGGTCATACAGTAATTCCATACTCAACTTTTTGAGGAACCACCAGACTGTCTTCTACAAAGGCAGTTTTCCATTCCTACAAGCAGTAGACAAAGGTTCCAGTTTTCCATGTCCTCTCCAACACTTGTTTGTGTTTTTAAATCATAGCTAACTGAGTGTAATGTGGTATCAAACTGATTTTGATTTGCATTCCCCTAACGTCTAATGACATTGAGCATCTCTGCATATGTCTTTTGGCCATGCTTACACCTTTGTAGAAATGTTTGTTCAAACCTTTTGCACATTTTTGAATTGGCTGTTCCATTTTTTAATTGCTGAGATGGAGTTCTTTACATATTCTAAATGATAATTCCTTATCAGGCATAGTATTTGCAAATATTTTCTCCCATTCCATGAGTTATCTTTTCACTCTTGATTGTATCCTTTGATGCACAAGCATTTTTAATTTTGATGAAGTCCAATTTGTCTATTTTTGCTTTTGCTGGTTGAGCTTTTGATGTCATATTCAAGAAATCATTGCCAGATTCAATGTCATGAAAATTTTTCCCTATGTGCAGGTCCCTCAATGATCAAAAGCAGCAATCTGCAGTCAGAACTCTCAACACTCGTTTTTGAATTACTAGGTCCTTTTTGCCCACCTGGCTCCAGCAAGCCATGTTACAAATCTGGACTGTTGCGCCCATGGCTGCTTGCCACGGGGATGGTAGCCACTACTCTGTGAAAGCTAAAATTGACTAAAATTACCACCTCATCATCAAGCTGTCTCTGGGGTACTGCAAGTGTTTTTCAAGATTCAGAGGTCCAAAACAGTTGCTTCAGACAGCTCTTGCCAATTGTTCCAATGAAGGAATGGATTTCTGGAGCTTCCCATTCCCACCAACTTTTCTAATGCCATCTTTTGGTAACTAACTAGGTATTATAGACAGAATAAGACACAGGACATTTTACATCTAATACATGTAAGTTGTCCCTTTCAAGAAATTCACATTGGCAGGCTGTGTACTGATTACATGGATAATTCCAATTCCATTCTCTGCAACAAGCTCTGAGCACCTCATTCCTGCAAATTTTGAGCCCCCTTCACTCTGTCCAAGTCAGATGTCATTTTCATCCCACCCAGGGTCCAGCATAAATGACACTCCCGACTAGTGGCTCACTCTATGGCCAGTGTCAGGAAAGCATCTTTCTTCCTTCTGGAGGTGAAGAGAGGGGAAAAACCATAGCCCATCTTCAGAGCTGAATCAGAAATCTTCTTCTATTGCCTGTTGACAAAACACATTTTTCTGAAAAATGAAAACAATGTTCAAAAGGTCCATGATGTAATTCACTTTTAGGCCAATAACAAGACCATCCCTATCACACTATCCCTCATAATACTGGGGTAAGCGTCTCTGGGTTCCACAGGTTTTATAGATTATTAAATGACTGTCCATCTTTCTATTATGCATCAGCCTTTCAACATTACATCTCTTCATTCAAAAAAGACAGAGGAAGATTTTCTAACAACATTTTTTTTTTAATTTTCCACACCAATATTTGTACAGCTGTAAACTCAAGGAATCATCCAATACTGGTACAAATTTGGGAGAACAGTTAAAAAGCACCTTCAGTGGTTTCCACAGTTTAAGAATTTACCATTTTTAAAATTCTAGAATAAATCAATACAATGAATAAAACAGTTATAAAAATTATGCAAACGCATGATGAACATTTGCTATAGAAGATACAGAATGATAAATATAAAAAGAAAGTGAGATTGAGATTAATTTATGAAATTGGGCTATGTAAAAGACTTACATGTTCCTCAAATCTTGTGATTTTGGGGGATATACTTGCCTCTTCAGACAAACTGCAACCTCCAATTATTTAAGAAATGACTCTCTCCTAATTCAGGTTCCCATGTATGGCAGCAAGCGAGGACAAGGGTGGGCTAGGGAGTTGAGGGGGAGTGGTTGATTGTGCTAGGGTTTAAGGAAAAGAGGAAGGCTCTCTTCCCCAAGGAGAATATCAGGCAAATTCATTCATGTATAAGTGTTCTCTGGCAAAATATACCATTTTCTCTTTGGCGTCATTTAAGAGTTTTTCTTATTGCTGTTCTTAAAGTCTCTCCTCCCACCCCTTCATCTTGGGTTTTTTCATTCGTGTTCTTGATCAATAATCTCTTCATGATGCTTCTCATCGAGGCTTCTCTACTCCCTTACCCTGTCCTTGATGATTAAAACTCCTTATGCGAACTCTCAATCCAAAATTTCTATTGTTTTAGGACTCTGGGAAGCAGTCGATAAAAAGATAACACTAGCTACTGAGATGGTAAGCAGGTGTTTTCTAAACAAATGGCAGAAACTTAACCATAAAATGTGGCAATGGACTCCTGGATTATACCAATGAGCAATAAAGGATCTGGACCATTAGTATAGATATTCAATTCGGTCTTTTTGGATTGTGTGTTTAGTGAGAATACAGCCAGCAAGGGCCACAGACAAAAGTGAAAAACAAAGGAGAAACGAGTGCATGGATGAGTGTAAGTTAGTTATCAGGAGTGGAGACCAGAAGTAAGAGCCTGTGTTGGATCATCACTTGGTACCAGCCCCACACTGTGACCCACATGTGTCACCACAAGAAGGCAGGACACCAGGACCAGCATTGGGGCTACAGACCAGCACAGCACCAGAGACCAGAAGCTGGGAGGCAGGTGTTACATGCGAAGAGGGAGAATGTGGTAATCTTTGGTATAATTTAAGGCACATCAAAATAATCGTCTATCCTCAAATATCTGACTCAACACCTCAAAATTCCTACCACTAGACATTCCTTCGACTTAAGCCTTTGACTAACAGATGCCAACATTCTACTGCTTAAATCCCAACAGCCTATCTGGAAGGGGCTGCCCATTATCATCCACCAAATACCTATATATTCCTAGGACAGGGAAAGTTTTGATCAAAAGGCAGAGCATGATCGCTATCATGGGGGTCTTGGAAGGATAAAGGTGGTGAGGAACCAGGGAGTAAAATGATGGGAGTAAAAGAGGGGAATCAGAGCACCGAGAGAAAAGGTATGGGAGGCTGACTCCCTTCTTCACTCCTGAACTTGTCTAGTCAGGCCTTGGTTAGTGAGTCAAGGAGGTGACAGAATGGTGGGTGCCTCAGAGTGAGGCTGAGCTCGTAAGGTCACAAGGAAGCGGGTAACTCAGGCTTAGGAGGCTGTGCTCACCATTGAGGGGGAAGGATTGGGAATAGGTCCCAAGACACTGGGATGGACATGTAATCTTCACCCAGGGCTGCATAAGCTTGTCTGAGGGTTGAGGTGAGGGAGGGGAGCTTTTCGCTCTCATGAAGGGGTAGAGACTTTTTCACTACAAAAGCCCAGGGTGCATGTTTTGGGAAATGGTGAAGGGGCTCAGGCTGGGCGAGACTCGGGCCTGGTGGTCACTCTGCCAGAGGACAATTTTCAGTCTGGACCAAGTAGTTTCAAGTGGGGTATTGCTGTAAAATACTTGGAGAAGGAACAAGGCAATCTTGTCTTCATTTCCGTTCTATACAGTCAACTCCCAGGGTGTTGTCAGGGCAACGGCAGGTCCTGCTCCCCGGGGTGGCCAAGCAGAGGTGGGTGCAGCCACCGTTGTTCACGGAGCAGTAGTTGTGTCCTGGAAAGAGCAGAAATTGTTTCAATAGTCTCCTCTCTGCCCTGACTCCAAACCCATTTAAGCAAGTGGCCTCCTTACTGTGTGACCCCCTTTTTGATTTCCATGAAGCCAGCTTGGGAGGGCTCCAGGGGAACAGGGAAGATTGGACTAGGCAGTCGGCTAAGCTCACCTACTATTTGTCTCCTCATCATGAAACCAGATACTCAAACACACGGATTCCTGATTTGAGCGAGGGCTATGCAGATTTATCACCAAAACTATTAAATAGATCTCAGGGAGGATTCTCCAGCGCAGATTATAACATGGAGTTGGAATTTTTAAGTACAAAGTACTCTTTATCTAGCTCACATTCCTAGCCTCACACTGGCTCAGGAAGAAGACGGAAGCTGAGGGGGAAATCGGGTGAGGGGGCAGGCCTTCGAGAGGTGCCATGGCACAGACTCTGGAGCCAGGCTCACCCCGTGAGCAGGGTGCATTTGAGCAAGTTGCTTTAGTTTCCTCATTCACAAAATGAACATCACCACAGTACCTGTCTCACAGGGTTGCAGTGAGGACTAAATGAACCAATGGATTCAAAGCACTCAGAAATCTGAGCTGACACACATAACATTTCTAGCTCGCAGCAAGCCCCATGTGTATGTTTGCAATTCTTGTTATTCATTATTGTTGCCGTGAGGCCAAACGGATGGACATTTAAGGCAGAAGAGATCCTAACATTAATATTCCTAGTTAGAACCTGAAGACTATAGTCTTCTAGACCCAGCCGGGACTCAATACTTTTCCTCACCCTGTTCCCCTCATGACCCAGTATTTTCTGCTTATTTATCTGGTTCACCCAGTACTGTAGACCCTTGAAGAAAAAGACTATGTCTCTCCTACACCTACCCACATCGGTAGCAGCCTGACTGCATCTTCTAAGCCTCAGGGTGCCCCCCGTCCAACAGTGACTGGGGTGGCCGAGTTACCTTGGGGACACTGAGACAGGGCCGTGGTGATGCCATACAGCCGGGTTTGCTTGTGAGGGTGGAAGGTGTCCGTCTCTCTGGAAACAGCGAGATCAACGGCAACCACGGAATTCCTACAAAGCACCAAAGAGCAGAAAGTGAAGACACATCTGATGACTTGAACTTTTCTCTGCAGGGCAGCGCCTTTTGTATTTTGGGGGATAAACTGGAGGCCACAGACAGACATGATGGCCCTGCTTCCCAGATGTCTCGCTCTCTGCCCGGGGTGGGCCAAGCCTGCGTTTCTCTGGCTTCTTGTAAAAGGATAAAGATCTGCTGGTTCTCCCCTCCCATTCTAAATTCCAGGCGGGAAATAGGCTTTCTATACAGATGCCCCTGGCCAGTAGTTTCTTGGTTTAACCCCTCCTTTTGCGAGAAGGGATAGTCAAGAAGGGGCTATGACAGTTTAAGAGACTATAACGAAGCCAAGTGACCCCGGGCCAGCTCCTGGGGCAAGCACAGATATGCTCAGTTTACAGACTTGAAACTGCCCAGCCACAAGCATCCAGATGATCAACGGCACTTCCTGCTTGCCTAGGGGCCTCATCCTCCCTACTTTTTCACCCCCGTCTCGTCTCCTGACAACCAGAAGGGTGAGGGAGAGGGGACATCTCTGGAGGCTCGAAGGCCGCGCCAAGAGGCCAGATGGGAATGGTCTGGCCTCCCAGAGATGGGGGAGGAGGGATGGGCCCATCCGGCCCTCATGGCTGCAGCCCACGCACGTCTTCCAGTCTGTGTAAAACAGATTCTTCCCATAGCTCGTCACGGCAAAAGGATACTGGAGTCCTTCGAGAATCCTGCGTCTGGTGGGCTGACTGGGGTTCAGGCATTCCGCCCAGTTGGTGCCTACGTGGAGCAAAAACAACTCATTCATTGTCCCTGCAAGAAACAGCCCCTTTGTGTCAAAAAAACAAGAGTCACCAGGGTGAGAGTGGGAGAAATTCAGCATCACAATGAAAAATCCTAGAGAACACATGGGGCTTGCTCTCCTGGGCAGCAAGACCTCATCTCTACAATAAATCAAAAAATCAGCCGGGCATGGTAGCGTGCACCTGTAGTTCCAGCTACTTGGAAGGCTGAGGTGGAAGGATTGCTGCAGCCCAGCAGGCGGTGGCCAGGAGCGGCCACTGCACTCCAGTCTGGGCGACAGAGTGAGACTCCAACTCCAAAAAAAAAAAAACTGGTAAGTTGTCTCTTTCTCCTGTCTTGCCTCCGCTGTGGAGGCAGGAGCCGTGGCAAAAAGATTGTGTCTTGTTCCAGCTGTTCCAGAGCAGCTGGCATCTGGGCCAGCTCTGTTCCCCAGGCCCCCTTTCTCTTAGTAGGAACTATGCCCTCTTCCGGCTCTTGCTGAGTTCCTCCTCCCTGAAGCCTGTCCAGAGTCTCTTTCCCCCAAAGCAGAGTCCATAAGAAGTGCTAAGCTGCACCAGTGGTTAGCAGCTGTGCACAGCCCCACATTCATGCTCACATGACGACTGCAACTACGGGTGGTTTCATTTCATTCTGCCTTACTACCTGTCTTGACTAGGTAGGCATCATGTCTCCTAGTCTCTGCATGCCCCATGCTACCTGACATCGTGTCTGCAATGGAGAAGGTACTCAAGAGAAACTGACAGAGAGAGAGATGGTCAGTGTTCCTCCCTGCCTGGGCATCGTGCCCACATCCCTAGCCTTAGGACACCCCACATCTGCCAAGGCAAGGGCACACATCAGGGACTGGTGTGGGCTGCTCTAATTTTTATGATCCTGGGCTCAAAGTTCTGAATGGAAGTTGTGAATTCGCTTAATAGGCATCAGGGTGAGTACAGGCTCTGTGCAGTGATCCTTACAACAAGGAGTCAGCCAACCTTTTCTAAAAGGGACACATAACAATTATTTTAGGTTTTGCGGCCCAAGAGGCAAAAACCAAGGAGAGCATTCATATGTGAGCATCTCCATGACCATTTAGAATGCAAATTAAAAAATGTAAAAACCATTCTTAGCTTCCAGGTTCTACTAAAACAAGTGGCCAGTTAGATTTGGCTGAGGACCATAGTTTGCCAACCCGACATAAAAGACTGAGACCCCTCCCTGGCCACTCCAGCTTTCTGTCACCTGCATCCACCCAGCAGAGCTGAGAGGAGAACACATCCAAGGTCAGCCCGTTGGGCAAGCCCAGGTTGTCCTGCACAAGAATCCTCCGGTTCGTGCCATCCATGTAGGAAGTTTCGATTTTGGGGTTATCTCTGTTCCAATCTGTCCAATAAAGGTTCCTGGAGGAAGAAAGGGCAGGCAGAGAGGAATAATAAAGGCGATGAGAAAACATTTATGAAAAACACTTGAAGAAGAGGACCTACAAGGAAGAGGTAGCAGACATGAAGACAGAACGGCTAACAAGGATCTAGAGGTGACCCTTGAATTTGGTTCCTCAGCTGAATCTGGTTATTCTGTTACGAACACATTCGGTTCCCTAGACATAACTGACATTATATCTCAATAAAGCTGTTAACACAATAAAACAAAAAAATAAAGGCTCTGTCATAAACACATGGATGCTCCCATATGCGGCCCCTGCACGGGAGGGCACGGCAGACCCAGGGGATCAGACTAGGACAAGATGCAGGTACTGGCAGAGGCAGCAGTCAAAGCACTTGCCATCGGGGAAGTGGCCGAGGAGAAGGGATCAGGGTCAAGGAGCCAAGGGCTTGGTGTTTCAGAGTTCGCAGTAAGGAGAGAGGAGGAGAAAGCACTGATGTACCAAAGAAACCCACAGGGGGCGTCTCCAGGCTGAACAGTGGGCTATGCCCCAGGAAGGAAGCCCACGGGTACATTTATGCCACCCTGATACTCTTTTGGAGTTGATAGAACCTGTGTGTTGGTCCATATCCACTCCCCACGGAGAATATCCAGTTTGGGAGCTGTCAACCTACAAAGTCTCTTGGTAAAAGATTTGAAAGCAGAACAGGGTATCAAGTCCACGCTGTAAGGAGTGTTCTGGCATTTTACAGCAGACAGCGACAAGTCACCACCTGGAGACTCTTTCGTCCTGTCCTCATTCATTTCAGGAGAGTGGAGCTGGAGGTGGAGCCTCACACCTGTGAGTCTCTAAAAGGGCAGATGCACACAGAAGAGATGCACAAACGTATTTGCACAATGATACCCTCTCATGGCATCCGTTATGATGCCTCTGGGATTCACCAAATCGGTCTCAAAGAGCACCCGGCGCTGCGTGCCATCCAGCCTTGCAACTTCTATTCGATCCAGGTGAGAATCCGTCCAGAAGATGTTGCGGCCAAGATGGTCAATGGTAATGCCTTCTGGACTTCCAAGATCTAGAACCAAACACAAGGCTCCTCTGATTTTTTTTTCCCTAAGCAAGTAAGATTGGGTTTTTTTTTCAGCACAGTGCTATCTCCCATGCCATCCAATCCTTGCACTTTGAGAAACCAAATGGGAAAGCGAAATGCTTGTCGTTTACAAGATAAGCAACCCTCAAAGTCACAAATTCAAAAACGCCACTCATTCACTCTGCAGACATCCATCGTGCAGGGCATGGGAAACCAGGACAGTCATGATGGCTAAGCTGTGGCCCCAGCCTTCAGAGTGCCCACAGCCAACCACAATTCAGACAAAGACCCAGGTGCTATGGGAGCCTGGGGGAGGCACACTGGACCACCGTGGGGAGATCAGGGAAGGATTCCTGGGGGTGGTGACACCTGTTGTGGCAGTCTGTCAGGTGAGGATCCTGGATAAAGGTTTTTCAGGTACCAGGACCAGCACATAGGTATAAAGGAAGATTGGACATGGCTGCACATAAACCGTATGCAATTTTATATGGCTGGACACCATGAGGGCAGCCAGAGATGAGGCTAGGCTGTCGTTATTAACGCGCTCAGAGCTTATCTCACAGGCAGAGGGCAGGCATGAGGCAATCTTAAGATGGGGAATGGAACAAACAGATCTTCCTTATTCACGGACTACGGGGGAAAAAAGTCATTTCAGAGAAATAATATTTTAAAGAGGTCACAGCTGTTAGTACTTTTACACAAGTATCAGGGATACAAAGAAGGGGTGTCAGTAATTACAATCCCAGAAGTTGCCACTGGTCACAGGGACCTTCATTGTGAACCCTCTAACTATACTGGAAGTTCACAATTGCAGTGGTTTTCTGATTTTAAATTTAAATTTTAAAAAGTTAATAATAGGCTGGGTTCGGTGGCTCAGCCTGTAATCCCGTGCTTTGGGAGGCTGAGGTGAGTGGATTGCCTGAACCTGTGAATTCGAGACCAGCCCGGGCAACTTGGCGAGACCTTGTCTCTGCAATAAATAAAAAATGAGCCAGGCATGGTAGTGCATGCCTGTTGTTCCAGTCACTTGGAAGGCTGAGGCGGAAGGATCGCCGGAGCCCAGCAGGTCAGCGCTGGGGTAGCAGTGAGTGTGCCACTGCACTTTGGCCTGGGCAACGGAGTCAGACTCCAACTCAAAAAAAAAGTTGATAATGACAAGTTGGGTTGTATCCACACAGGGACAAGAGGACCCTTGTCCCTGTACCCACTAGAGGACTGATGCCCATTTAGTATGGCTGGAGCATCAGCAGGAAGAGGAAGAGGCTACCCTATCTGAGGGATCTGGGTATGAGGAAATCACCCCAATACTGTGTTCCTGTGCCAATACACGGAAATGCGGCCCCCCAGCCTTCTTTGTCCTTCGCTGGACACCTAGCACGATCATGGCCATGGAGCCCCCAGAAAGAAGCCCCACCACAGGGAGTTTATCAAGAATTAGAAGCCACACTTGAACAAGGTCTTTATTATCCAAGCCCAAAGCAGAGATTTATAAAGTATTAAAATATTTCCCACATCCCTGGAGGCAAGGGGACAGACAGCGAGACTGACCTCCAAAGGCCCTTTCTGGCTTTCAGACAGAATCAGAATAAATCCTTCTGGGGTATATTTGGAATGAGTACATCCTGTGTGAGAGACAGAAGCTACTCAGACATACACAGAGAGAAGAGGGGAAGACCGTTCGGTGAGAACCTCTTCACGAGACCCAGAGGAACTCTGGAGGGAGGTGCCTGCCACACTGGCTCCTTATAAACAGCCCTGGTCCTGATTTCAAACCCAAGGGCAACCAACCACCCCTCCCCCAACTAGAAAAATACTTCTTTGCGGGCTGCTCTTCCAAAGGAAGAGCCTGGAAAATCTCACCCTTTACTGTGCAGTGTAAGACGAAGGACAGATGGCAAGGTGATAATATTCCGAACTACTTATGTCAAAAGGAAACAGATTATGTTGCTTATTGAAGATACTTGGCTGGGCCTTTAACTCAAGGAAAGAGAGAGAAGCCCAAGATTCAGACTGCTATGAAATAAGGAAGATAAAAACCCAGTACCTACTGCCACTGTCACTCACTAGGGAAGCAACAACCTATGCCACGCTAAAGCGTTAACTGGAAGCTTCTTTCTCTCTTTAAAAAAAATAGCCCCAGTGATCTTTCTTCTACAAAGATCTCTGTGCTTGCAGTAAGTAGGCCTCAGCTTGGAATGCTTCTTACTGTGCTTCAAGCTTTCTTGGATGACCATCAGCTCCAAAAGCAACAGGAAATAGCAAACAATGACCTACTCCCCTCTTCCACTGGGTTTTGAAATCAAATCTCAGATAATAGCAACATTTTTGAGAGAGAGAGAGAGAGAGAGAGAAGATGCAAAAAGGCATTTCCAAACTTCTGTTCATTAAACCAAAACACAAAAACTAGCAGACATGATATAAATAGCCTATCTAGGACTTCCAGAAAAGGATTCACGGTCTGTGCCCAAAGCCAGGCATATTTACTTCCCTCTCAGCTTAATTCCTGCTGCATCATTGCTAGTGAAGGCAACAAGGAAGGAAAAAAAATGCCCCAGGGGTGTTCCACAGGCACAGGGAATCTTCTAGAATATCAATTGAGAAGGAACCATTAAATAGGAAATCGAAAAAGCTCTATTCAGTCCCAAGTGAAAAGAAAGACAAAATGAGGCTTCCACATTTTAAAGATGCATCTTTGATTTAAATATTTTGCAGACGAAGCAAGATGACTTCACACAACAAATGGCATCAGATAACAATGTCTTTTGAGCAAAAATATTCCCAAGTCAGCTGATGAGTCACTGACTTAAGCAACATGTAACACTTGACCCTTTTCAGTCCAGAGGGATTTTTACAAGTCCTTAGATTTTTGTTGTAATGGTCTTTAATCTACGTAAAACATACCCATGTAAAATAGTGTGGATTTGTTGAATGCATGCATTAAATTAATGCATAGAATCTCTGGCTTAAATTGAGATCCTTACGTTAAGGACTGAGGTCAAACATTGAAAGGTAGGTTGTGCCAAAGTGTCACACACTGTATCATAATGCAACAAAATACGGAAAATTGCCTGTAAAGGTCTAATCTGACTTACTCTGCTCCTCTCATAGAGGCAATCTGAGCAAGTGCCAGTGGGGGCGAGGTAGGCAAGAAGAAGAAATCTCTCCTCCCCCTTTGATGTTTCTGGTGAAATGACAATCCTTTAACTCAACAGCAGTCTTGGGAACAGACTCAACTCTTAGGGTCATTACCTGCCAACTCTCCCAACTTTATGCTTCATCTGCTGTTGCCTTTGGGAAACCCCAATGGAGCACACAGTGGGACAGACACTGTGAGAACCAATTCTAGGCTCTGCAGCCAGAGGGAAAAATGCATATTAAAATGGGTGGGTGAGTTGGGCATGGCGACTCAGCACGTTGGGATGCAGGGGCAAGAGGATTGCCTGAGTCCAGGGGTTCAAGATCAGCCCGGGCAACTTGGCGAAACCTCATCTCTACAATAAAAACTAGCCAGGCGTAGTGGCTCACGCTTGTGGTTCTAGTTACTTGGAAGGTTGAGGCAGAAGGATCACCTGAGCCTAGCAGGTCGAGGCTGCAGTGGTCGTGAGTGTGCCACTGCACTCCAGCCTGGGCCAGAGTGGACTCCTACTCACAAACAAACAAACAAAAAACAGGAGGGAGGGTGAGTTTGGCCTTTATTGTTCACAGAAACTGACTACAGAAGCTTTCAGGGAAAGGCAGGGACCCTTGCCCTATTTCAATTTTATTTTCCTGAGGCTAGCAACAAATCTTAGATATGAATCCTTGGAGGACTCTTCGAGGAACTGGAAAGGGTAGTGCTTTGAGGCAGAGAACCACCCATTTGCTCCAAACCACCATACCCTGTGAGCAACTCCACCCTCTCCCTTCTGCCAGGAGCCATTTGGGCTACTAGAAGGAAAAACACAACAGAAAAATGCTACTTGCTTGCCCACCTTGCCGAATGATAGTGGTTGGTTCTCCGCCGTGTAGACTGGCTCTCCCAATGGAAGGCTCGCTGATGTCTGTCCAGTAAACCATCTTGTCCACACAGTCGAAGGCCAGTCCAATGATGACTTTAGCCTGGAAGTGAAGACCAGTGGTGAGAACAAGCATCTGAGCAAGTACTTACAGAATCTTTTCATGTGGTTACAGCATTTAGTTATCTTTCTTAAATGAAGTGTCTTTTAGTCTTTTGTCCATTAAAAAAATTTAATATTAAGTCATAGGAGTTGTTCATATATTTCAGATAACACTCCTGACATACACATATGTATGTATGCGTAGGAATCTATGTATATGCATATTTTATCTCAATATGTAGTTTGCGCTTTCATTTACTTAATGGCACTTTTGAAAAGTGAGTGTTTTTAATGTTTATTAAGTCTAATTTATTATTTTTTATGGCTAATACTTTTGATATACTGTCTGAGAAATCTTTGTTTATCTGAAGTTTATAAGGAGAAAGAAATAAAATGCATAAATATTGGAAAGGAAGAAGCAAAACCACCCTATTCTAAGATAATATGATTGTTTATATAGAAAGTCCTGGGGAAGCTATAAAAGTTTTATAATAATTGACTCTATTGCAGGATACAAGGTCAGTATAAAATTACATTTTTAGGTACTCATAAAAAATAGAAAATAAAATGTAAAAACAATAATGTTTACGACAGCATCAAAAAACAGAAAATATTTAAAAATAAACATTTTTAAAAGTGCAAGATTCCACAATGGAATAGTACAAAACATTTCAGAGCAAAACTAAAAAAACTCAAAGAGATACATGAGGTTAACGAATTTAAAATTTAATATTGCTATCAATTCTCCTTAAAGAGCTATATATTCAGTGATATCTTTATTAAAATCCCAATAGGCTTATATGAGTTTTAGAAATGTACACACTTATTCTAAAATGGAAATGGAAATTTCAAGACTCAAAAATAGTCAATCTTGAAAAAGAACAAAGTTGGAGGCCTCACACTCCCTGATTTTAAGACTTACTATAATCAAGACAGTGTGGAATTGATGCACAGATCGGTGCAACAGAACAAAGAATCCAGAAACAGACTCTCACACATGCAATAGATTGCTTTTTGACTAAGCCACCAAGGTGCCAGTGGAAAAATAAGGTATTTTCAACATATGGTGCTGGGACAACTGGAAAAAAGAAATCTTAACCTGACCTTACACCATAGGCAAAAATTAAAAGCTGAAACTATAAAATTTCTAGAAGAAATCATAAGAAAATATCTTCACATTCCTCTAAGTAAACTCACTTGTCAGGCCAACCTTATATAACAAACAATGGTAACGCTGCAAAGAACTCCAGATGATAAAATAGCGTTGTTAAATTTATTACAGTTCAAATACAGTAAATTTATATGTAATGTACGTATTTGTATTGTAAATCAAGTTTACATTTAAGTTTATATTACAATTACATATGCATACATTATATACGAGTATATATATTTTATATATTTGGAGGGAGAGCTGTTAGCTAACCAGGCGGCCTCTGAAAATGCCAAGACAACTCTGTGCACCTGCAGGGCAGACACGCCCTCTCAAACCATCATCTCCAAGGGCACAGGCCCCACCTGTGGGTACCTCCTTCATGGTATCCCACGCTCCTCAGCTTCTCTGCCCTTCATCTCACTGAGGAAGGAGAACATTTCCTTCTGTAAACACACCCGGAGTCCTTTTCCACACCGATTTTTACCAAAGTGAAACAAAAAAAATGACTAAAGGCAGCAAAGCTGAGTAATTTTCTGCATTTGATTGAATTTCATGAAAACCTATGGGGCTATACTTAGGTTTGAAGAGCCACTGAGAATTAGCTACTCTAAGTAAGCCAGGCTCTCCTCAGAAGAGGCAAATCAATTATTTGACACTAATTCTCTTGACAAGTATTTATTAGGTGCTTTTCATGTATAACGAACTACGGTGATATTCGGACAAGACTGCTTCCTAGAAAGAATACGAAGTAACTGAAATTATCCAAAGCTACCTGCTCAAAACAAGCCATCTGCCCACAGTTTGGCTTAGCAAAGCCTGGTTCAGATCTCCCGCGAATTAAAGTATTTGAAAACTATAAGCCAGGCATGGTGGCTCACGCCTATAATCCCCGCACTTTGGGAGGCAGAGGCAAGAGGATTGTCAGAGCCCACGTGTTTGAGACCAGCCTGGGCAATGTGGCGAGACCTCGTCTCTACAATAAATCAAAAAATTAGCTGGGCATGGTGGCGCATGCCTGTAGTTCCAACTACTTGGAAGGCTGCAGCGGAAGGATGACCTGAGCCCAGCAGGTTGAGGCTGCGGTGGCTGTGAGTATGCCACTGCTCTCCAGTCTGGGTGGCAGGGTGAGACTCTGACTCAAAAAAACAACAAAAGAAAACTATAGATATTTATATTTATGTAAAATTTAGCCATTGGGAGAAACCAGGTGACAGGTATAAAGGACTTCTCTGTACTACCTTTCCAACTTCCCATGGTTCTATGATTATTTCAAAATAAAAAGTTAAAACAAAACATGAGCAGAAGTTTTTCCCTTGATCAGACAGTGAGGAGTTCGCCTTTTTTTTTTTTTGAGTTGGAGTCTCACTCCATTACCAAGCCCGGCTAATTTTTGATTTATTGTAGAGACGAGGTCTCGCCAAGTTGCCCGGGCTGTCTCGAACCCGTGGGCTCAGGCAATCCACTCGCCTCGGCCTCCCGAAGTGCTGGAATTATACGCTGAACCGCCAAGCCCAGCCGAAGTTCACCTCTGTAGATGTTGCCATGAGAGGCCCAGGAAAAAGCTGGCAGCCTGTATGGTATCAGTCCATGGTGAGGTTATGTTTTGTCAGCAGCCTGGAAACACTGAATTGTTCTGTTACAGGAACCCCTAGGGATGAGTGCTTGAGATGGTCACAGGAGTACATTAAGGCCAGAGAAGGGCTCAGGATGGGAGGTCCTGGGGACCATGGAAGTGAAGGACCAGGATGATCTTTTACTGGGTTATCAGCACATGCTTCCTCCTTAAGAGGTCAAGTCAAAAAGGACAGTGACCTTATCTCACACCACAAACAAAAACTAACTCAAAATGAATCAAAGACTTCAATGGAAGAAATAAAACTATAAAACTCTTAGAAGAAAACAGAGAGAAAAAGCCTCATGACATTAAACTTGGCAATGGTTTCTTGTGAGGGGCACAGTGGCTCATGCCTGTCCTCCCAGCCTTTGGGAGGCCGAGGTGAGAGGATTGCTTAAACCCAGAAGTTCAGGACCAGCCTGGGCAAGACAGCGAGACCTTGTCTCCACAAAAAATACAAAAATCAGTCCCGGTTACTTGGGAGGCTGAGGTGGAAGGCTCACTGGAGCTCAGGAGTTTGAGGCTGCGGTGAGCTGTGAGCATGCCACCGCACTCCAGCCTGGGAGACATGTTGAGATCCTGTCTCAAAAAAAAAAAAAAAACCGCACAAGGGGATAACCACTTCACGCTCACTAAGATGGCTGGTATTAAAAATAAAACAGAAAATAACAGATGTTGGTGAGAATATGGAGAAAATGAAACACTTGTGTCCTGCTAGTGGGAATATAAAATGGTATAATCACTGTAGAAAACCGTGTGGTGTTTCTTCAAAGAAAATTAAACATATAATTACCATCTGATCTAACAATTTCACTTTGGTGTATACATCCAAAAGTGGTGAAAGGAAGGACTTAAGATTTGCATACCCATGTTTGTAGCAGCATTGTTTGCAACAGCCTGAAGGTAGAAGCAACCCAAGTGTCCATTAATGGATGAAGAGATAAACAAAATATGGCATATTCCCTACAAAGGAATATTACCTAGCCTTAGAAAGGAAGGAATTCAGGCTGGGCTCAGTGGCTCAGCTTGTAATCCCAGCACTTTGGGAGGCCGAGGTGAGTGGATGACCTGAGCCCGTGGGTTCGAGACCAGCCCGGGCAACTTGGTGAGACCTTGTCTCTACAATAAGTGAAAAATTAGCCGGGCATGGTAGTGTGCATCTGTAGTTCCAGCTACTTGGAAGGCGGAGGCGGAAGGATTGCCGGAGCCCAGCAGGTCGAGGCTGCGGTGGCCGTGAGCGTGCCACTGCACTCCAATCTGGGTGACAGAGTGAGACTCCAAATCAACAACAACGAAACAAACGAAAGGAAGGAAATGCTGACATATGCTACGGCACGGGTGAACCTTGAGGACAATATGTTAAGTGAAACAAATCAGACTCAAAAAGGCAAACCCTATATGATTCTACTTACATGAGGTTCCTAGATGTATACAGACAGAAAGTAGAAGGTAGATGCCAGGGGCTGGTGCAGGGGTGGAGGGAGAATGGGGAGTTATTGTGGAACAAGTACAGTTTCAGTCTGGGGTGACGGAGAAAGCTCTGGAGGTGGATGGAAGTGACAGCTGCTTAACACTGTGAATGTACTTTGCTGAGCTATGTACTTTAATACGGTTAAAAAGAAAAATGCACATTTCTTCATCCTGTTGTTTCAACATCCTCTCTTCTACCTACGCCCCCCTCAGTTTTCTGTCTTTTATGGCCTCACATGGCATTCAGTCTCTCCACTTGGTCTCGGGCAAGAACGACTTTGGCAGGGAATGGAACCCATTCCCACTACCCGAGAGCATGTGCTGGGGAATGCCAAGGAGAAGACGGTGACCCTTGAAGGATCTGTGTTTTCAGGGAGGCAACCAGGGAACACGATAATCACTCCTGCATTGGCTCAGCAAATTGCATTGAGTGCTTCTCACATACCAAGCACAGTTTTGGGTCTATAAAATATCCCACTGGGAAACCAACACTTCCATGAAACAGACGGACAGGGTTCTGTTTTGTGGTGACGATATCGTTGATGGAAGCCAGACGTCAAATACAGAACATAAACACTGTGGATGTTTAACGTGTCCAGGAGTGCTGAGGCTATGATGAAAGACAGCGGGCTGAGAGGCTGCTGAGTGGAGGCTGCTATCTAGACAGGGGGTTCAGGATGGGCTTCCCTGAGAGATGCTGTTTCGGCAGAAATTTGTGTGAAGTGAGGCAGTAATCTGTGCGAGTGTCTGGGGGTGAGGGAACTCCACGCAGGAGAAACGGCAAGTGCAAATGTCTTGCAATGGAAAAGTGCTTGGCGTGTCAGAGGGCCAGCTGGACAGCCAGAGGGCTGAGGCTGGTGAGTTGGAGGCCAGAGCGGCAGGGAGAGGGAGCCAGAGGCCGGATCCTGCAGGGCTCTGAGGACCATGCCAAGGACTGGATTTTATTCTGGTTGAAGAGGGAACCCGTTTGAGGGTTTTGTGGGGGGAAAGGCCACGAATCCCATCAAGACTGCCTTGCAAGAGGCTTTTGAAAAGCATTTTTACTTTGGATGCTGTTTTGCTGACGTTTCTTTCCTGGTCCAGATGGGACATGGTGCCACGTCTATGACGTGGAGATGAATGCGGGGAGAGAAATAGCGAAAGCAGCAAACATCATGGGGTAGAGAAAGGAGGCAAAGAAAAGCTGAAACTGGGGTCCGTGGCAGGCAAGATGGTACAAGTAGCATGTTACCAGGCATCGTGAAGCAGGTTCTGCACCCCACTGAGGAATGACAGAACTTTCCGCTGGACTTTATAAGAGTCGATGACCTAACCCCTGCCCCTCCTTCACTTCTTTTTTTTTTTTTGAGTTGGTGTCTCACTCTGTCGCCCAGACTGGAGTGCAGGGGC